AACCACCACATTTACCGCCAACATCACCACCACCCATTTCTCAGTCCTTCCCTCCCCCTAAACCCAACCAAATTAACCGACTCATTGTCTCTTGCCACAGTCACAGCCACCAGAAAATATAAGCTTGACCAAACATTTGAGAAATCTCAATCTCACAAAATCAAGTTCTTTTCCTAGGTGTCAAAATTGAGAGAATCTAAATTTCAGAAGCAAATTTACACTCTGAAACTGAAGTCACTAACTTGGCCCCTTCTTCCCCAATTTCGAAATCTGCAAATGATGGTAGCCCAAAATTCAAGCTCACCTTTTCCACTATTGCTTCTCCTTCATCATTTTTATCTCTCACTAACGGTACAAATTCAAGCTCATTTTCAAGGAGGTCATTGCAGTTGGTTTTGGGAGGTGCCGACGCTGGGTGCTAATAGCATTGGGCGGCAGTGGGCTAATGGAAAGGGGGTGGGTTCGGGTTGGTGAAAGAGAGAAGAAAGATTGAAAGAGTGACGGTCGAGGTGGTGATGCCGGTGGGTAGTAAGGCTGTCGACAGTGAATGTGGTGGTGGGGTGTAATGGTTTTGATTTGGGGAAAAAGGAGATGTGGATGGGTTGTGATTTTATTTTTTATTTTTTTAATTTTTGATTTAATAGGAAAAATGTGTTTTATCCAAAATGTCCCTGTCTTATGTGGTCAAATTATTAAATTTTTAATTTCTGGAATCAACTAATGATTTTTAGGGTCAAACTAACGGAAACTGTCAATTTAGATTTGAGCTGCACATTTTTAAAAGGCTTGGTACTCGCGGTGACACAAATAAAAGGTTTGAGCAACGTCTGCTAATAAATGAAATATTAGATATCTTGACTGCAATTTTTCCCCATTATCTATCCATTTATCGACTCATTATATATAAACGCTTAAAAGTACTTTCAAACGATCAAAATATTTTACCCATTTTTCTAGTTTGAAAATCAAAATGTTTTTATTTTTTAAAATTAATTTATTCTATTAAAGTCATTGTTCAGATGCTGGATTTATAAATTGTCAATAATGCTACTCTTACAGCATTACTTCACAGCATGTTTGACAACATTTTAAAATTGCTGACATGGCAAGGGAAAAGCGTGAAAAAAGAAGGGAAAAGCAGGAACACTAATTGATGGTATTTCTTTTCACCCAAATCCGCCCATTATCTCTATGCATTCGTCCCCAAATCTGAGCGGCCACAAACGATGCGACTTCAAATTTCTCGGCGATAACGAACAACCATCGTTACACCCCCAGACCCCCTCCGGCGGCAATAGACAGCACCGAACTACCTCATTCGTGTTGGGTAAGTAGAAAAATGGCAATATATGCGATTTCCCTTCCTTTTTTTTTCCTTTTTTTTTACGCTTTTGTTTTTGGGTTTTGACTGTGTACTTGATTGTAGGTAGTCTAATTGGTTGTCGAAAGTGTTGATTCGCTTTAGCCTTTTCTATGTGTGAGATTATTATGCCCAGATTTTTTGTACGTTGAGTTCATATAAAGATGGTTGAAGAGCTACAATTCTTCTCTAGTGAAGGGAAAATAATAATCTTGCAAGATTACTAATTTTTCTTTTCTTTTCTCAAATGAAACATGCCAAATTCCAGATGACAAATTTTTTTCCAAAGTTAACAGAGCAGGCAGTACTGCTCAAAGAGCTTAATGATCCAAAAATAATTGAGTTTATTGATGCATTCCCTCTCAAGGGAAACTCACTCATTCTATCTTAATTCATGGAGTGAAAACGAGAAGCAATTATATTACCAAGATAGGAGGAATATAGGAGTAAATTAGAGGGTTTAGAAATCTACATAGTGGAATTTATGCATACAATGTTTTCACCCCACCACGTGAATTGTTTTTATAGAATGAGCATTGTATGTTACTTAGTATTAATGAATTTGTGTTATGTTAATGTGGTTCTTTTTCGTGGTTGACCTAGACTACTTCAAAGCTGAGCCTGTCGACAATTTGTTTGAAATCGCTTGCTAAGCTAATGGATGAAAAAGACTTTGAGATTTCCCTGAACATAAAGATGCGCAAGGGGAAACGGGTTTGGAAGATTTTATCTGAAATCCGATGAATTGGAATGGTGCTTGAAAGGTTTCTATTTGGTGATCGTTTGGACATGTCAATGTTAATGGGTTATGTTGAACGTGAAACTAAAGTCTTCGTAGTAGTTTGTAGTAATGCAAGTGTTTATCTAGGGTACGTTAGTATGTTAATTTGGATTGTGATTTGTAGCGAAACTCATTGTGCCAATGCTTGTGTATGTACCAATGTCAGTCCAGTTTGAATCATGTTGGAGTGTATGTGCCAGTGTCAATCAAGTGTCAATGCCAATGTTTGTGCATGTGCCAATGTCGATCAAGTTTTGATGGATTATGTTGAACATATGTTTGTGTATGTGCCAATGTCAATACAGTTTGTAGTAGTTTGGAGGCTTGATTATATGCATTACCGAAATCTGTGAGCAAATTGTTATCTTTGTCCTCATTTTGGTTGCTTAATATGATGTAACAGATTACCAAGATCATTTCACAATGAAGTTAATGAAGAATGAGATCTGTGCCAAAATAGTGCCAAAATCATTAACACACGTTCATTTCATTAACAAAGTAGTGCCAAAATAGCCTGCCACTAACAACTGATTACTAAGTATAAGCATTACAACAATACGATCCAACTCATTAATCATTCAACATAATCATATGATGAAAAAACAGCAGCCTCATCAATCATTCATTACAACCAAACAAGTCGTTACAAGCATAACAAAAACCACAAGAACGTTAACACCCTTTTTCTAATGTTTAGTCCACCAAAAGTATTAATAATAGCAGTAAAAAAAGTTCATTTCCTTCATTCATTGTTTCTACCTGTGTATTGCTGCTGGTCCAAATCTGATATCTTTTGTGTGCATTTCTCTAGCAATCGTGGACTGAGCGGCGCTATACATCCAACATGCTATGACACGTTGATGGGGGTGGCATCGGTGGTTGGAATCATACTGCAATACCTATTGTAAAAAAGTACAAAGTCAATGATATGGGGAAAAATAACATATGCAATTTAAACATAGGAAACCATATAATTACCTGGGTAGTTCACTACAACATTTGATATTGATGGAGCAATGGAATTTGAAGCTGCCAACGGCTGTGTAACTACATGAGTCTCATCATCAACCTACGTGAAATGAAAACGTAATTACAAATTGCTGCAATTCAATGCAACAAACAAAAAAAAAATGTAACACAGTATTAAATCTTTAGGAAAAAAATATTACCGTTGTAATTGAACACACGTAATTGTATATTTTCAAAGTTCAAGTTCAATAAAGTTTCGAATCTACCTTTCTTAGTCATTTGTTCATCGTGGTCGTCGTGAGAGCCTGTTGCCCAGTACTCTGAATACTATTCGTGTCGTCGACAAGGCTAAATCGAATCAACACTTTCAACAACCAATTAGACTATCTACAATCAAGTACACAGTCAAAACCCAAAAAAAAAAAATCACATATATTGCGGTTTTCTACTTCTTCTTTTTTCATATATATATATATATATATATATATATATATATATGTGTGTGTGTGTGTGTGTGTGTGTGTGTGTGTGTGTGTGTGTGTGTTAAATTAAATAAAATTGGATGCAATTAAAGGACGAAAAACAACATACCTGTTTTTTTTTTCTTCGAATACATACCAAGTATGTCCCAATGAACATTGACGAACAAATGGAAGATAAGAACCTTGTTGCATTTGAAAAAACAACTAAAGGGGAAACACAATTTAGAAATCGTCTTCAATCATAGATTGAAAAAAATAAAATAAAAAGCATCGACTATCACCTTTCCAGCATTGAAATTTTGCAACCAATGTAGAATTCAAAATTCAAAAGCCTAACAATATTATAAAGTATCAATTCATAAATATCTGTAATTAATTCTACAGGTCTGCTCTATTTTTTTACTTACCCAACACGAAGGAAGTAGTTCGGTGGTGTCTATTGCTGTCGGAGGGGGTCTGGTGGTGTAACGATGATTGTTCGTCGTCGCCGAAAAATTTGAAGTCGCGTCGTTTGTGGCCACTCAGATTTGGGGACGAATGCGTAGAGATAATGAGCGGTTTTGGGTGAAAAGAAATACCAGCAATTAGTGTTCCTGCTTTTCCCTCTTTTTTCACGCTTTTTCCTTCCCACGTCAACAATTCTAAAATGCTGTCAAACATGCTCTCTCATTGAAGAAGGGGATGGTGGGCAGCTACTCAACTCCTAAAGATGTCAATAAGAGTAGCATTATTGATAAATTGTCAACCTCAACTGACATGCACAGCCTGTGTGCTTCTTTCCACACGTAAATTAATAGATTTTATTTTAATTAGAATAAATTTGGCATAGCCGCCGTAACAGTAGCCTTACAACCGATAGCACAAGTATCCGGTTGCTCAGCACAAGTACGCACGTGGTCTACTTTTGTATATTCTTGACTAATCAAATTATGTCCATATATCTTAATATTTAAAAATTGGTTTCAAAAATCTAATAAAAAGCAATCCATGCAAATCACAGATGACATCAGGCCTAACTTGATCTAAGCAAAATGTAAAATCATCATCGAGATACCACCAACAAAGAGATTGTTAGGTAGAGCTTAAAAGTCGATTAAAATCAAAATTTTGACTGTTATTTCATTATTCAAGTCGTCATTTTTGAATTTTTCTCTTACGAGTAGGACCCACTTTATCTCTTACGATTAAAAAAATCAATTATCAAAATTCCTATCAAACAAGTACTAAATAATCAATTTGCAATCTTTGGATTAAAAAATTATGCTCTTGATAGGGATTGCATTTTACCAAAATTAAAGTCAATAATTATTTTTAATCACATATTTTTTAAGAATTCATAATTTTTCAATAACAAATTTTTTAACTTTTATCAAAATTTATTAAAAATATGATTTTAATTTTCACTAAATAAGACTATACAAACATAAATATTTATTAATAAAATATATATCATATCAATAGCGAATGGAGATGGGACCTATAGAGTTCCTGGCCTCATTGAGCCCACGTTTGTCATCCTTTAACAAATTAAATTGTTTAATATAGTAACATTATCTACCACTCATTCACACAATAAAATATTCTGCACACAAGTGAATAAAGTTTCTTTAAATTTTAACCACACATTCTTCAAAAAAAATTATTCAAAATTCTATAATTTTTTCCATATCAAGCGGCAAAGAGGCTCTAAAATTTGAAAAAGAATTATTTATGTGACCTTTTTCACTTTTTATTTTTTATAGTATTATATTTTGTGTCCAAGTTTTTTTGGTAGTTAAAAACTAAGGTTCTCACTGAAATCGAATCTTGACATTTTCACTGATCGTACAGTATTATTAAGACATGACATTATGTTATTTTGATGTAATAATATTACAAGTACGAACAAACCCAACGCGAATAAACAAATATATACATTCTGTAAATAACATTATAAAAATTGAAGCAGTTAAATGCCAATGCATATAAGATTAATAATAACAAAACAAGCACATCAAGACAAGGCTTCATAGATTAGAATTAATCAAAGACAAAATATTTAATATTTAAACACTATACTTTAATTTTAATTTGCTAATTTATTTCAGTTAATTATATTAAACTCAATATATTTATTCTCTTTTGAATGGCAAGTCTCTCTCAATATATTCTAAATTGAAGACGACGTTCTACCAACAATTGCCGACATAAAAAGAACATTAATTAGACAATTAAAACATTAAATCAGTTCCTTCACAGAATGCTCTTAAAAGTATTCAAGTATGATATATTTGACTTAAGACACGCACGTTTGGGAAAACTTAAAAAACTGATAAAAAGTTAAGTCAGAGTCAAAAATAATTTTAATCATACATGATCCAAATTTATCTTTGACCATGGGCCCCACTTGTGAGAGGAGCAATCCAAAGTTTTGACTGTCAACGGTTAGAAAATAAATTTTTTTGCTCCAAAAATTGGCTCAAGACAAGTCCATAAACTTTTGAACAATATATTTCGTCAACTTTTTTAAAAATTTACTAAATTTTTTTTTTTTTTCAAAAACCTTTATCAAACAGTCCCTGAATATCTTCATTCAGTCATGTTGGAAATCCTATCGTCATACAATGTAAGCATGGAAGGCAATAGGATATGATATTCACACCTTCTTTTGCAGTTATTGTTAGGAGAAAAAGGGGCAAAAATGAATTGTCGTAACTAATACCTTTTTTTGCAATATTTATTTCTTAAAGTAAGAAATTTATTGTAGTGACATTAAAAATGTCGAGTATACGTGAAAATTTCATAGTACAAGATTATTAGTCAAAAGATTGTAGTACGTTTAAAAGGGTGATGCGATCTTTGACATTCGATACATTGAACGAACTAATCAATGTAATAAATGAAAAGAGACTTTTGAAGTATTTATTCATTAAATTTAGCTTAATTTACTTGATGTTACAAATAATTCGACTCGTCAATTAGTTCAACTGAAAGAAAAAGGGGATAACAATTAATTCGGTTATATGCAAATTGCAACTGGAGAGTTATTAATTAACCAAGTTGAAAGGTCGAACGTGACACGAAAAAAGGGACAGAGTATCATCAAATTTAAATTAGTTACAAGTTGGATGCTAGCTAATTAAATAGACCAACCACCACATAATAAAAACTATATTTTATGCCTGGAATTTTTTTTTTTTTTACATGTGGGATGTGGCAAAGGTAACAATTCTGTAAAATAACGCAAATAGGTTGTTCGACAAAATAAATAAATAAAGAATAAAAAAATCATAAAAATGAGGATTTTAGATTAGCTTGAATTGAGCTGTCCATATTTCTATCCGTACAGTGCTAATGCTTGCAGTCGATATGGAGTCAACCTAGCTCTCGTTCTCGCAAAATGGATTTTTCGACAGGTTTAAATAAAAATTAATAAAATATGTAATTAAAAGTGATAAAAATTGTGGTCCAATGAAATTCACGTTAGCCCAGTCCGCTGTCCGCCTAGCATATCTCGATACAATTATATGTTTTAAAATAATTTTTTTCTTTTATGTAAAATAAAAAAAAAATTACAAATCAATTTTGAAGAATAGTCAAACTGGTCTATGCATAAACCGGTGGCGCCGGTCAAAGGTTATTTAAACTCCTCTCTTCGATCATTTGCTTCTCCAACTCTTGCTCTTTTTGTCCAACTTCTCCCTCCTCTTCTCTTCTTCTTCATCTCTCTCTATGACCCCAAGTAGTTATTGAAGAAATTGTTTTATGGGCAGCTTTGAAAATTGAATTCTGTTGAACTCTGAAGAATTATTTTGAATTATCTCTGCTGCTTTTTGGGGTTTCGACTCAAAGTTTTGGTGCAGACAAATGGCTGTAAGTTTACCATATTTCTTTCTGGTTAATGTTATCTTTACTGTCATTAAGATTCTTTTACCTGGTTTTGGTTCTGCTTTAACTCTGTTATGTTCGAAAGTGACATACTTTGATTGTTTTACTGAATTCTTGATGTAGCCTGATCCGATCTCTCTATGTCAGGAAATTATTTTTATGTTCTAAAACTATTTCTCTTTAAAAATTCTGGGTATATTATATTTTTGCTGTTAAATTATTTCATCTCCTGGATCGACAAAAGAATGATAATTGTTCGGTCCACAGCCACATGATAACGTGCGGAAAAGGAAAGAACACGGAGACTTTTAACCCACTAGAGGGTCTGATATGTTAGGATGTGTGCCCATGTAGTATATTTTGTTATGATAAAATAATGATTTATAATAAATTGCAATTTTATATATTTATTGTATTTATTTATTATTGAGTTTGCGAATTAAATTGCCTATAATTAATTGTGATAATATAAGTTGAGTACAGTATGACACAACTTGTATTTTGATTATAAATAATTCGTTCACAATCAATGTATAAGTGTTGGCACCTAGTATCGAAAGGTTGTAGTGTCGTCCAATTCACTATTCATGTTTGTCACTAATCCTTATTACCGAAATAGTTGAAGGTGACACTAGTACACTTGGAGTATATTAAATGGACCAAGTGTCGAGTTTAATTTTATACTATAATTGTACGAAAAATTAAATTTCACTTGACAGGATTATGTATATTTTTTTTCGTGATTTTAATTGTTATTTAATTCATCAAATTGGTCAAATTTCTCGATGAATTGGGAACTTGAGAATGAGTGAAGTACAGAACATGAATTTGTATCGGGAATTGTCATCTTGAAAAATGGCTAGAGTGACTACTTATGTATTTTCTGCTGAACGGTTAAAATTTATTCTTAGAAGTTAAATTTTGGCATTTGTAATTAGTTCACGAGACCGTTGAAGAAAACGATAATTAAGTTAGTGGGAATAATTGGAAGGGCAAAACGGTCATTTATGCTCGTACCTAATTCTCGAATCTCATACAGGAATAAGATACATATACGGTAGTTTCAGGGGAAAATATTACAATTTTTTTGGTTTCTGCGATTTTATATATTTCAAGATTTCAATCTTTTACTTTTAGTGAAAAAACAAAATTAATAATTAGATTGGGTGGTCTAGTGTCGATTAAACGGGATCTAATTATTGGAATTTGGATAATATATGTCCGATCAGATCCATATGGTAACTTTGTAAAGTACTGGGACTTAATTACGGAAATTATAATAATTTTGGGTTTAATTGTAATTACAATAAAACTTTGTACTTAGTTGTAATTGCTATAAAAATTGTAAACTTAATTATAATCATAATTGAAATTCTATAACTACATATGTAGTTAAATGTAAACCAATTGGACGTAGACTTTAATTAAAATTCCCATTTGAATTTTAATTAAGATTCTTATTTGAATGTGGAATTATTACTGTAGAACGATTGTAATTATTGTATCTCTATAAATAGAGATTAGATGAAATCTAGACATCTTATGGATTGAACAGAACAATCATAATATAATAATTTCATGGTGTTCAAATTTGGAGAGAAAAAATATTTTTCTTACTTTTATTAATTTTGCTAGAAAAATGGGGGCCTGATAGACCCCTTGACCGAACCCCATCCATGGGGATGGGTCCCGCGCAAAAAAATGGGACCCCCACCTATTGGTGGGGTTCAATCAGGTCCTGACCCCCTGTTTTTGTAGCAAAGCCCTACTTTTATTTGTATGTCCAATCCAAGAATTAGTTTCTTAATTTAATTAGAAGAAGGTGTCCACTCACCATATAGTCTCGACTTTGGAGGATAACATAAAAGATTTTGAGATTTGAAGCATCAAGTTCTTGAAATTAAAAGCCTAAAAGTTTGTAATCCAAAAAATTGGAAGTTCGTGATTTTGAATTTATTAAAGAATTAACAATTTGATTCATGTAAAGATTGGAATCCTTTATTCTTGATATAACATACATGTGAACATCTTGATGATCTTGTTTGTTGAATTAAAGAAATTTTTCATTTTTGGGTAATTCTGCTTCCATAATCCAACATGATATCCATGAGCTATAAACGCTACTCATCCTTAGCATCCAATGTAGTGAATATGGCTCGAATACTAGAATTAAAATCAATATCAAGAGTTTAATTAGGTACCGAAACATCGTTCCAGAACACAACATACTGTTCACTAACAAAAACATCACAACCTCCTCGTGCTACAATTGTCACTCAAAAAATCACTCGGATTTTCAACAAAACAAGAAACGAGAAAGAGGAGAAGAAAAGACAGTGACAAATGAGAGGGAGTTCAGGAATGTGAGGGTTAGCCTCCTTTTATAAGACGCAGACGAACCCTCCATCCTACGGTTGTGTTAGCGCCACATATAAAGCCAAGATAACACTTCAAGCTTCAAAGAAAAACGTGTTTCTCCAAATGTGGCTTCGGTCGAAATTGAATCACTTCAGTTAACTCTGAGGCACTTAGTCTCGACAATAAATAAAGATCCGATTTGTAGTATCAGGCATTAATTTTCTTTGCTGTTGGACCTTGGTTGTTTTTACAAGCAGTCTTCATATTTGTTGCTTTAAGATTATTAAAGTTAAATTTGATGTTTCTTGTTTTGTTTGGTCTTTTGTGGGTGAAGTATTTCGAATTCTTCGGTCAGTCAATTGGTATGTCGAAGAATAACTCAATCTGCTTTTGTAAAATTTGCCAACTTTTCTAGATCTTATAAAGAATTGGATCGGATTCCATCATTTGTTACTTTGAAGACGGGATTTTAAGACGGGATTTAGCATTTTTTAGGAATAATATCTGCTTCCACTATTAATGGAAAGTGTTTCTTCTTATTGTCGATGCAGCAGTCAAATGTACCAAAATTTGGCAACTGGGAAAGCGAAGACAGTGTTCCCTACACAGTCTACTTTGAGAAGGCAAGGAAAAATCGGGGTGGGAAGATGAGAAATCCGAATGACCCTGCAGAGAATCCTGATATCTTCCAGAATGCTGATTCATCTTCAGCTCCAGCCCCAGCCCCGGCCCCGGCCCCAGCCCCTGCTCCTGCTCCGCCGTCAAAACCAGGAACTAGACCTGGGGAACCAAGGGTGAGTGGGGAAGAAGGCGATTTCAGGCAGTTCAGAAATTCTCCAGTCGTGAGTGAAAATACGGGTCAGAGCATGGCTAATGAATCAAATTATTTAGGGCGTGGCTCGAGGTCTGGTGGACATACGAGGCCAAGTGCAGGTTCGGAGGACAACATTGAGCGGTCTCCACTGCATCCACATCACCAGGCCAAGATAACGGGGAGAGGTAGTGGATCTCCTGCTTGGGATGGAAAGAACTCATACGAAAGCACTCAGGGTACCCCTGGAAGATCTCGGTTAAAGCCAGTTCAAGGAGATGAAAGTGTAAGTGTTCTCGGCGATTTTAACTGTTTTCCAATCAGTACGCAGTTATTATGCAATTGATCGCTAAGCTCGACTGGTTGCCACCTTTTAATTGATTGCATTGTAAATGACAGCTCGATGGAGGTGCTGCTGTTCCAGTATTTGGCGAATGGGATGAGAATGATCCTCAATCTGCCGAAAATTTTACTCACATTTTCAACAAAGTGCGAGAGGAAAAGAATAGCGGGGCTGGAAATGTGTTAGGCACTCCAAAGCATCCATCTTACGGCGCTCAAAATCAACAGCCCAAGAATCAAAAGGTTTGTCAATCAACTGATGGCCTCTTGAAGCTTTTCAATTTAAAGTAATTTGGATTCAACCTTATCCTTCTCGTTCCTTTAATGCAGACTTGCTGCTTTCCGTGGTGTTAAAAAAACATGTAGATTTCCGATTTCCTTCGAGCTTTCAAGCTATGATGAACATGTAAATAGCTCGGAAATCTCTTCCAATGCAGCGATACTGCATTTATTCCATGTAATAGTGTGTGCCTTGGTACAATAATGCGAGATCTTGCTGGTTCATTATTCCAGTTTGCTCTCAGTTTTCATTGTTACTTGCTAGACTGAAAGAGAAAAACATTGGGAAATTCTTTCATTCTAGTACTCCGTAGTATTCGTACTGTTTTAGTATCGTTTTACCTGTTATATTGCAAAGGGAATGCATTGAATTGCTCGTATAGTTAAACTGTTTTTGTCATTTGAGGAGAAAAACATGGATTGATTGACACGGTATATAAGAAAACTTACAATATGTTTGATCATCTATTCATCTTCAATGGTTTGCACCAATTTGATTATGTTATTTCCTTTTTAATTATTTCTCAACAATTCAGTTATTTCAGAAATTAAATTATTACTAAAATTTTAGTTGATGTATTAAAATATTGCATTTATTAATAAATTAAAAAGTACTAATTAATGAGTAATTTTTTAATGTATTTTATATTATTAATTATTTCTTGATTAGAATTTAAAAATAATAAATAAGTTAAAACAAATATAAGTAAAGTTAAATTATTAAATAATTAAATGACACAAAAGGAGAAGGAAAATTATGAAAAACTTCAAAATTAACTAGATGAATATTGTTACACCAAATTTGATTTTGGTGTGATGTAGTGTTTTTAGTGTACCATTGAAGAGGATTTTTATTTTTTTTTACACCAAATGGGGGTTTTATCGTTGGAAATGTCGTTAGTGAACTATGATTGATGCTAGGGACTTATCAAGCATGATTACAATAACTATACGAACCATGCACTAAATATTTTTGGTGAATTTTAAATTGATGGGTCGATAATTTTATCAAATGGATATCGTACAAATGTATGATATAACGCTATACTGTGCAACATATGGGTTAAAACAAATTCTACATTTTTGATTGGGTCAAAGAAAGAGGTTGACCAAGATTTCAATTCGAACTTTGGAAATCAACTTAACTTGCTATAATCTCTGTCCCATGTTGAGATTAACTTTTAAGCTATTTCAAATCTAGACCCGATGTAAAAATTAAAATGAAGAAAAATTTTAAGAGTCGATTTGATTGCAAGAATGAAATTTGGATGGAAAGAAAATGAATTTTAGATAATTAAATTGTCTAAAACTTGTTTTAATGGAATTTTCAATTAAATGTGTTTGATTGATATAATTTTTCATCTGAAAAATGTTAAAATTTTGGATCTTTTGATTTTCGTTTGGCTTTATTTTTCATGAAAATTGTCGATTAAAGGAATGAAATTTTTTACAATTGTGAATAGAATTTGATCTTATTGCTGAAAATTATTTTAAAAAAAATGAAAAATGAAAACTGAAAAAGCATTTTCCCACAAAAAACCAAAGAAAACTAATTCCTTAAAACAATGGAAAATCCGATCACGTGAGGGGTTGGAGAAAAACAAATTCCAAGGAAAAAAAATTGCTATCAAATATATCATTTTGGTTGGAAATGGAATTTTAGCCCTCGTTTGTTTCTCATTATTTGTCCATTAAAATGAAAAATATGACCGTTATCCATCACATCAAACTACCATATTTGACTTTCTATCTCTTGTGCGGAGCTCGTAACGACTATATTTTTCATTCTTATTTTTATATTAACGTGTACCAAACGAGATCAAACATGCCTTAAAAGACTAAAAGGGGGGCATTTCCGTAAACATGTATTTCGCAGATGCGAAACCTTAATTTCACCGCCAAATGTTGGCGCTCGTCAAAAACTTCAAAATTTTCATTTCCATTTGAAACTATTCAAGAAAAAGTAAGCCGATTATTCAAACAAATTCAAACCCTCTCTCTGATTCTCTCTCCCTGGATTGGAAAAGAGCAGAAGAGCCGCAGTAGAGGGCTCAGAAATTCTCAATCTCATCTTCAACTACCTAACTTCAGGGTTCAGGTATCTCTTCAAAACGTTAATTTAACTAAATCCAAAGTGAATTCAATGAAATAACAGCATGTTTTTGCGTAATTTTGAAATCCCATAAAAATCCATGCTTGGATCTGAGTGAATGATTCAATGCTGAGGTGGAGTTTCACCATTTCGTGATTTTCCAGTTGTTTTTTTTTAGAGAAAAGATTGAATTTTAGTGAAGTTTTGGGTATCCGTTTGAGAAAAAATTATGGTCAGAGAGCAAAGTATAGAGTCATTTTATACTCGGTTACGTGAATCGGCACGAGCCTCGGCTTCCTCCACTCCTCTGCTAATTTTCCCCTCGACTTCTGATGTCGATTCGCTATGTGCTTTAAAAATAATAGGTCATGTTCTTGAATCCGATTCGGTTAGGTATGCTTGCTACCCAGTCTCGAGCTTCAAGGAAATCCATAAGTATGCAGGGCCTTCTTTGAGTTCGTCTTCGGATGAACCCATTACAATATTGCTGATAAATTGGGGGTGCCATAGGGATCTTAGGAGGGATCTTGAAATTGGTCCCTCTGCACGTGTTTTTGTTGTTGATAGTCATAGGCCGATTCATTTGCATAATTTAAGTAGCCAGAATGATCTTGTAGTTGTGCTCTATGCAAAGGACGATGAGCACCAAGCTGATTTGGTATATGACTTCGATGTGTCTGCTTTGGCCAACGAGTGTGATTTGAACAGTGACAATGAGTTTGAAGATGATTCAGATAGCGAGGATGAGAGTGATAGTGAGGAAGAGGATGGTGGGGATGGTACTCGAAAGAGGAGGAGATTTTCGGAGGAAAATGAGAGCGATCCAGTTAAGCTTTTTAGAAAGTTGAAAAGAGAATATTATTATATGGGTACTTTCCACGGGAAGCCATCAGGGTGCTTGATGTACGAGCTATCTCATTTATTGAGGAAGAATACTAATGTGTTGCTTTGGCTGGCTTGTGTAGCTTTGACTGACCAGTTTGTACACGAGAGGTCAACAGATGAAAGGTACCAGGCTGGTGTAATGGAGCTCGAGCAGCATATCAATAGCTCGGGAAACTTGGATGCGATTACCTCGGTGACTCTCAAGGATGGGACAAAGGTTACTGCTCCTGATACTTCTCGAATAGCTTATGAGGATGAACCAAGGTTGATGTTATTGCAAGAATGGAACTTGTTCGATTCAATGCTATGCTCGTCCTACATTGCAACTAAGTTGAAAACTTGGAGTGACAACGGGTTGAAAAAGATGCAGCTTCTTTTAGCTCGAATGGGATTTGCGAGGGAGGAGTGCAAACAGAAGTTCCAGTATATGAGTGTAGAGATCAAACATAGAATGAAGGATATGTTTGAACAATATCTACCTGAGTTTGGGCTTACTGATTTTTATTACAGAGGTTTTTTGCTACTTCATGGGTATAGCTCGAAAATCTCTGCTGCAGATGTGGTATATGGTGTGACTGCCCTGCTAGAGGCATCTATAGAATCGGATGGCTCCTCTGGTTCAAAGCAGTTTGGAGTAGCTTATGATGCCTTGTCCCTAAGCAAACTTGAGAAGCTGGAAACGGGAATGCGACAAGCTATCAAGGTACAGAGAGCAGTTCTTAGACAAGGCAGTACAGCCATAACCAAGAAAGGATCGATAAGAAGTGGGAGTAAATTCCGGTGGGTGAAACTCGAAGATTCAGCTGATGCCGAACTCCTATGCCACCCTCAGGCTTTAACTAAATTTGGTTATTTTCTGATGGATGCTTTACGCGAGAAGGGAGCAAGAATGAAGCCTTTGGTCTGTGTATGCTACACTAACGAGCGAAAGAAGGTATTGATAGTCGGAGTTTGTGGGAAGCTGCGGCTAGGTGCAGTTCAAGGAAATGCATTTGGATTGGCTTTCAGAAGTGCTGCCGAAGAGACAGGAGCTGAGTACTTCCACGAGCTGTTTGAATCGTCATGGATAGTTTTGGATGCAGTAGCTGTAAATTCATTCATGATCAGGTTGACAGAGAAGCTTTTATAAGAACTTCATCAATTTAATTTTTTTTCTTTTACTTGAATTGTGATTCTGTCATTCGTGGATGCCTGTATTTTTAATTAAGAAAATACTTCGTCGATTAGTTCTAACTTGTCTGTAACGATGCGAGATAATAACATGATTGAGTCGTGGGTTATTAAAGAGTTGTTTGACTACTTGACATAGTAACAAATTTCAGTTCTTGCATTTGTGATCGAATCATTTTTTCTCTATCTGAAAACTTAATAATGTCATAAATAAATTATTCGTAGTTACCCTAAGGTAACTATTGATCGAGCCTATGCTTATTTAAGTAAAACACTGAACAATATTTTGTTGAAGGTAATCTTACCAAATCTTTTATGCAGCTGTAGAAACGAGAATGTATTAATGGTTAATAACCCTTTCCTTGTATAAATTAATAGCAAAGCTATAATTTAAAATCAAAAATAATTATTTTACAACTCATGCAAATATTTTGTTTCCAAGTTTTGATTCAAACTTTATAAATTTAAATGCCTAAATATTTGCCTAGGGTTTTTGTGGGGGTTTTCAAACTATGGATTTCTCTATGATTCGTCCAAAGCCTCCTGCAATGAAGCCTGAGCCGCCACCACCGCCGCCGCCAGAGAAAGAGCCACCATCTTCAGACCCTCCACCAGCAGCACCAGAAGAACCGCCTCCGCCTCCAGTACCACCACATCAAGAAATGGCTTATCATCATGGATATGGACCACCACGGATGGGGCCATTCGTGGAAGAACTTGATAGGTCTTCGCATATACACCGATTGAGAAGTATTGAATATACAAATGCTAGGACTTGGAGGGCTAACTTTGGTGGATATTATGATGATTACTATTATGATGATCCTTCTAAATATGGTCCGCCGGGCCATCAACCGTCCAGGTATATGGTGGCGCAACCGCATTCACATGACTACATGTCACCAATGCCACCACCTCCACGGCTTGGTGTTCCTCCACCAGATCACTACCATGGTCTTCCAGGGCCACTAAGAGTTGGTCTTCCTCCACCAGATCACCACCATGGTCTTCCAGGGCCACTAAGAGTTGGTCTTCCTCCACCAGATCACCACCATGGTCTTCCAGGGCCGCCACCAAGGCTTGGTCTTCCTCCACCAGATCACCACCATGCTCTTCCAGGGCCACCACGGAAGCTTGGTTTTCCTCCACCAGATTTCTATCATGGACCACCACCACCATCCCCGTACCATCATTCGCAGTCACACTATGGCTACTTCAGCGATGAAAATCCCAATGGCTGCACAGTAATGTGACCTGATAATTTTCTACAGGTTTTTTGAGTTTCAACTTTAAGTTAATTCTAGCAGGAAACTACTACTCAATTTTTCACTTTATGTTATTCATCTCTTCAGTAAGATAGATTATTCATCTGTTCAGTAAGATAGAAAACATTTCCTTTTTTTCCTTTTAACAAAGAGTTTTCGTCATTAACCGTGGAACCAATTTTGTGGTTTTACGCGCCAGTCTATGTGAATGCAATTGTTCGCATCTCAAGCATTTCGAATCCATTATTACTAGGAGACCTATAACGATAGTCTTCAACTATAACACTTGCTCGCATTTCAAATCCGGCTGAGCTCGTGTCAAAGACTCTTTTACACGGCCTCAAGTCGAGGGGATACAGTCGAGACCGGAGTCATTAGTCTCATTAGGGATAAGACAAGGAGTTCCAGCTTGATTTGCTGTTGATCCTTCAGAAAATACTTCAAACACTAGTAATTTAATACAATGATAAATTTCTTTAACTGGATACAAAATAGATGCACAATTTAAGGTCACTGAAATTAATCCTCTTTTTCCGAATGTGTAAACTTGAATTTCAAGCAAAATCCACCGGTAGCACCCAAGAAAGTACTAAAAACAAGAAACGAAAAGAAAAAAGGGAAAAAAATTTCCAGATGATAAGATTAGACTGCTAAAAGATGTGTAGAGTAGAGCTAGTTACAAAGCTCATCTTTTTGCAGGTTTCTTTCTCCACTCTGTGCGCCCACGATTAATTTCAGAGCCATCAGATAATCTCAACAGATGAAGAAACTGAAGGCAGTCGTTTTCATCTTTCATACCAGTAGCAGATCCATTAGTTCCCTCAAGCTCTAAAATTGCGTTGTCCATTATTGACTCGGGACTTGTCAAGGAATCGACCACATCATCCTGCTGACATTCACGTCTATAATCTAAAGTAATAGTCTGCAGTTCGTGAGTGTCGATGATCTCTTGAGGCATACTCTGTTAGACAAATGAATCCTTGATTAGCAATTAAGTATCTGTAGCTAACATATAGCAAGAAGGAAAATCAAGGATGCTGAAAAAAGGAGTCACCAAGATAGGAATCTAGTCGGTTAATTGAAGTTCCTTTTACTATGCAATATAGCATACGAATACATGTGGAATAATAAAGAGCTCAGGAGCTGATGTTCAGCAAATATATTAAGGATATTGGTCCTCCAAATTAACATGTTGCAACAATTATAAAAAATGGAAGTAAAATAAAATAAATAAACTGATTCATTCCCAGTCTCTAACTCTCTAGATCTAGTTGCATTGCAACTATACTTCTAAGCATATTCAAGAGATGATAAGTCGAAGCAAGAACACAGATAACGATGTACTGATGAAGTTTTACGAACCTCCAGGACCCATCCAATGTATGTGACATTGTTTACATGCTGGTTCATGTCCAGATCAGCTCGTCTTGGCTGCAAATTAATAAAAAGTGATAAGTACTTAAAAGTAAAGCTCTGCCACACATCAAAACAAATTGATATTACCACAAGCCCAATTTTATAGTGTGGCACAGGGTCCTCTAGTTTTGCTATTTTCTTCAGGCTAGCATTATTCTCTTCAGGAAATGCTAATCTGGCATCCACAACAAGACAGCAGTAAAAGTACATGTTAAGATTGGTGTACGATGCACAAAAAGGTCTCATTTTAGGACAAGGAAGTGTAGTAGTGTGATAAAGCTAATTGTACGAGCAAAAATAAATGCATTGAAATCAATGTAGAATACAGAAAATTCTTTTGAACTCGTTTGCTGGGTTTTCATGTTAAAATGATTTCCAATGTAATCCACACTGTTCAAATTGGACATTCAACTTTAGTTGAAATAGAAGTAGAACAAATACAACATTGTTGACATGCTTTTATTTATAAATTTTTATTGATCGATGCAAAATATCAGAGATATGTGTTCATGGTTCAAGTTTCAAGAGTCAACCACAGATATTTCATGCATTTAGAAGAGTCAAAGTAACAAAAAGAAAAGCAAAATTACTCCTAAAATGGAAATTCATTTCTTGTATTAAGTAAAACAAATTTTGGGAAGAAAGATATCCTGATAATCGGAACAATGACAACTAACTTGAATGATGAATGCAAAATGCAGTATGAAAATATCCCCAAGAAAATCTCTTCATGTGCATTAACACAAGATAGATGCAGATGAAGAAAAGCAAATTCAAAAAGCAAAAAAGTAACTTTCTATGAAAATTGGACAAAAGGCAGCAGAAGTGACCATATCATCATCTTCAAAAAAGTAAAGAAAATAAAAAAATGACAATTATGATCTCTATGAAAATTATGTCATTTCTTTAGAACAAAGGACATTACTGTTCAATCATTAAGTGAAAAAGCCTAATAGTAAACAAAATACCAACCTAAGTGTTTTGGGACAATAAATTAGATATTCATCACGGACATCATCAGTAACTTTCTGAAGCCGTCTTGTGTCTTGGTTCATCATCACCCACTTGCTGCGATGAGAAGTTGTAAAGGTGATTCATTTGGAAGTAATGAAGAAAAGATCTAGCAAGTACATGAGAATTCCAAGATTAATGCAAGTACAGCCGTCATAGATGGGCTTAACAGAGGAAAGCATAACATGTTATGTTTCAAATCAGCACATCTTCAAATAGCAAAATTAAGATAATGGCTCTCCATCTGTCATAGAAAATGCAAATAGTACTCAAATTATTTGTGCCACACTTACTCAAAGTTACTATCATATGCCAATTCCTGGGAAATGTACAGCAGTGTTTACATAGTTTGTCTGTTAACACTATTTAAACTACCAAGTATAAGAACCTTTTCAGATCTTAAAATTCCCACATAAGACCAGCAAGCTTTCAATAGCTTACAGTTCTTCCCTCTGCAGTTTCGAAGTGTCTGAAGCTATTATGTGGCATAGGGGTTACATCTTTAGAAACATAATAATATCCTACTTCCATGAATAGCTTGTAATCACCATCTCTTCTGAACTTCATATTATATTTGGTCAATAGAGTTTGGTGGGTGAAGAAAACAGGTGATATGGTGACACAAGTGAAGATCACTTCCTTTTCAGGTTTTGGATACTCTATTTTTATGGGCTGCAACTTTTCTCCCAGGGATAGTGAGATTTGTCAAACTCCATTGCAGATAAGAATGTTTACTATCATTGTAGGTTTCCATAAAAGTTTTGCCTCCTTACATTTTCCCTTTAGTCATGAATGAGCTTACAAGAGATATCCAATTTCAGATTACTCATTATATGTAATTCGTTGATGACACATTTTTAATAGATGGGTCCAGGAAGGGATCATAAGTTAAAGAAAGGGAGTGCTTTGGACTCTGAATGTTTTAACATAGAATGTCCTTTTAGCTATAGTAAGAATAAGGATGGTAGGGTCAATCTGCAAGAGATTTTTGGAAGAAAATCATTTATCGGTCAGTGTCATACTCACACGACTAACTAGTTCTGCATGCATCTGTCCAGTATAAGTTTTGTTGTGGATGCACAAGTACTTCGTGTACACGAACAGCCTAAATAGTTTCTTATTTTATATATCTTTAATTTGTTCTATTCTTCACAGCTTAAATACATATAGGTTAAACCTAATATATAAAATTCACCTGGTAGCCCTTCCAATGACTTCACCAGTAGCATAATCTTTGAGAATCCAATCACGTCTTGTACCAATCCTTCCTTCGCTTTGGCACCATGTCTCTATTTCAAGCACGTCACTCCTGTTTCACAAATCATTTATATGAAATATAGATAAGAATGTTGTCATCAATAAAACTTGAATTCAACATTAGGATGTCAGAGCTATTTACGCTACCAGGCAGGGTATCTATAGATCTCGATGTGCATACGAGCAGTCACCCATATGAGATGCAATTTTCTCATGGTAAGTGTAGTTGCAAATCCATCAGTTGAAAACCCAACACTTTGAGCATGGTTGCAGCCAACCTCCTGCACAGTTGATTTTAATAAGAAAACAATGGGAGATAAATCAAGGAAAAAACATAGTTGCAGTATCAACAATAATGTAGGAAATAGAGAATCTAAATATTCTTGGCGGAGGATGTGACAAGATTTTCCATTCCTTATGGCATATAATTATGTGAAGACATGAAATAATAAAGAAAAAAATGAAAATAAAGAGAAAGATGAAGAATACCAACAAAGGCGAAATTTGCGAAGAAGAAGAAAAGTGTGAGGAAGAAGAAGAGAAGAAAAATGAAAATGAGAAAGAAGAATACTACAACAATTAAAGGAAGAAAAAGCGTGAGAAGATTTGAATCACTTATTTTTGTAAAAGAGTAGAATGGAGGAACCAGCACTTTGACAACACAGAATTAGCAAACAGACAATAACTAATAAGCTTTTACTAGACAATAAAAATGCAGAGATCAGTTTTCTCGTTATAGAGATAAGAACCAAGAGAACATTGAACAAGCTCGCTCAGAGAGAGAGAGAGAGACGGGTCCATCAGTTAAATTTCTAACATTCTCTTGCTTCCTTTTGGGTTATGTGTTTATAAATTATTTAGACTTCTGAGAATTTAAATTCAAAACCAACTGTATGCAAATGGCAAAAAACAAGTGAAGCAAGAGTACAAATAGATTGAACGAGATGTATTCGACTTTGATTTTATTTTCTATCAGTTTAACAATTGAACGAGATTGTTTATGAAGAATTAAAACTAAAAATAGATTCACATTTTCAGAAAATATAGAGATAAGAACCAAGAGAACATTGAACAAGCTCAGAGAGAGAGAGAGAGACGGGTCCATCAGTTAAATTTCTAACATTCTCTTGCTTCCTTTTGGGTTATGTGTTTATAAATTATTTAGACTTCTGAGAATTTAAATTCAAAACCAACTGTATGCAAATGGCAAAAAACAAGTGAAGCAAGAGTACAAATAGATTGAACGAGATGTATTCGACTTTGATTTTATTTTCTATCAGTTTAACAATTGAACGAGATTGTTTATGAAGAATTAAAACTAAAAATAGATTCACATTTTCAGAAAAACATACATATTGCCAACTTTCACACTTTTGATAGCTACCAAATTTTTTTATTTTCTAACTTCGTAAATTCACGATTAAGATGTGCCTTGTCTTCTGCAAAATAAGTCATCAAAAAATTTTATAATATCGATAACTAATTTTTTCCAAAACGTCCAAATGATTCAGAAAAACTTCAAAAAAACCCACAAATTTGCAAAATTTATATTTATGCTCAGGCATGTATCATCAAATTCACAGCAGAAAGGGCATAAAGCTCCGATTTTTATGCTTAAATAGAGGCACACTGAACAATACAGGTGGATAAATATTACATACGGGGCTATGATTTCATTTTAAAGCAGTTAAGAGTCAAATGAGATATCTTGTGAAAGGATAAAATTGAAGAGGGGGAAGGGAGGGGGGGGGGGGGTTCAAAATT